GCTGATAAAATAATAGCAGCTGAAGCATTTACTTTGAGATATCCTGCTTTAAACATTCAGTAAATGCATAAACTTAAAGCTTACAGTTTTAAGTAAAAAAACCTGTGTTTTTAGAACAGACATTAAAGCCATATTCTCAGATATACATTTAATATTCGACAGAACATGCTGCCATTCTTAACTAAGATCAAATGCACAAATTCAATTGCAAGACTATATTAATTTATAATGAATAAAACATTTTTTTTTCTTTTATTAGTTCTAATAGTTAATTCTGGAAGCAAGCCTAAAAAAAATAAATTTCTCTCTAGCTTATTGCTTATGTAACAGGAATTTAGCACAAAACTCTGCTGTAAGTTCCCACAACAGACTGTCTTGTTCACCTAGAAATGGATGTCTGCTTTCCAATGAAGAATCAAAGAAAATACATAAAGAAGTTGTAACTTACTTTCCCTCTGTACTTTTCCAAGGAAACGATTCTTCCCCGCGAATCCTTGATTTCAAAAGAATAAAAATCTTTAGTTTTAGGTTTAAAAAATCTGAGTTGCAGTAGGCAGAGGACTGCCGTGCAAAAAACCATTGACAAAAAAACAACAAAGACTCTAGCTTTAGGCACTGAATATTTCAGAGGATAGGCGGTTGTGAGAGGCTCCATTTTCAAAAAGATCGGAGCCAACGCAGGCCTGGAATGTGAAGGAGGAGCTGAAACATGAAACTCGCAACTCAGACTAGAAAGGACAAGCTGCTCATTTTGACACAGTTTCAGAAGCAGCCGTTTCACTTCAGGATGCCACTGCTCGCCTTTAGAGTGCTTGGTAAAGTATGGAAATGCCCCTTGGTAGGAAAAAATAAATAAATAAAAAGCATGTTGCCATCACCTAAGGATGCTGATTGCTCTGTTTGGCCAGCTTTTTGTGGAGCACTGTATCAGCTTGCACAATGCCCTGAGGAATTGCCCTGGATCCTTGTTTTGTGTCTGTAATGCAGCTCTGGCACCACTTAAGCCCCTCAGGTGTCCCTGGCACAGCTGCTCAGTGAGACAGGCCTGAGTTTGAGCAGTCTGGGGCCAGCTGTGTACGTAAGGCAGGTAGAACTGCAGATAAAACTTTGGGTTTGAGTGTGTCTGTTGCTTTTCAGTGGCTTTGATACCACCTCAACTTCACTTGATTTGTACAATATCATAATGGTATGTTGAATAATTTCTATCATGTTCTCTAAATAGATAAGCTGCATGTTTCTTGAACAGGAGTCTACAGAGAGTTTCATACTGTTCTGTTGGGAGATAATGTTACTATAATTCAGTACCTATATGGATGTTTCTTGTGTCCTGGGGATATGTGAGGCTTGGAGTCAGCCTGGCCATGAGCCTTCAGTGCATGGTGTTTTAACATAAGTGACAATGCCAGCTTTAAAAGCAAATTTGAATGTGCTTGATTTCAGAAATGGAAAATGCAACAGGCAGGATGCTGGTGCTTATGTCTTGAAAGCTTGTAATTTTCACTGAACATTATATCAAAAATATATGCTGAAATATCTAACAATGATTAAGAATCTTATTATACTTGCTGTTCTTCCTTACTGTTCTTGATACTTTCACGCTTTGCTCTAAAATGTTGCTTTAAAACTGTCTGAAAAGCAAAATCTTGTGTTCAGTGTTATCTATGCTCTCACAATTTAAATTTTGGTACATTTTTTAAAATTTGAGTTTCTCTGATGCACTTGTTTAGGAGTTGTCTTCTTGAATGGATTTAAAAGTAAGAAATGTTAATCTGTTATTTGATCTTGTTTTAGTATTTGTAAATATGTTAAGTGCGGTGTTGAAAATAATAACTTGAGCAAGGCATCCTGGTAGTGAGAAAATTCTGAAGTCATAAATGAAATAAATCTTTCTTTGGGCAAAGATAGAAAGCCAGCCTGGTTCCAAACAGCCAACATGTAGTTTTGTCTGAGTGTTTTTATCACAGGAGTGACCAGCCCAGGACCTCAAACTAAAGGTCTGAAAGGTCTGGTCTTTCATAGGCCACTATTGTATCCTAGAATGTGAGTGACACAAATTTGGCTTTCTTCTCTTATGCGTGATCATGGCAAAAAGTGCACGTTCATTTTTTATCTATACACCAATAAGAACTAGTTACACCATATCCTCATCATGCCCTTGTCTTACTGCTCTTCAGGCTTCCCACTTTCACCTGAAATTTTGCCTTCCTTAGTTTAGGTTTTTGTCACTCGCCTTGACCTGATATTGTTAATTCATTCAGGAGTGTTTACCTGATTAGCAGAATTTTTCATTTCATATCTATATACGTATTTTCTTTTTTCTTCTCTTCCCCCCCCCTCACTTTCTATGTGCTGCTTCCCTTCTCTCTGACACTTAAATCCCTAAAGTTGTTAACTGCCCTTCTTATTTGAATATTTCTTTATGGAACGGTAAATATCCTGTTGATCAAAATACGTGGTAGTAGTAGCCCTCCTAGCTTTGAGCAACTCCTGTGCAGTGAAGGTAGCTGCTGCTTCTGTGTGAGCTGGGAACGGTAAACCCCATTGATCACTGTGTCAGGAGTCATCTTCCTTAATTCTTCACGAGCTGAACCTGTTTACATGCAAGTAATTGAGTTTATGGGCTGTCCAGGCAGCTGGTGGAGTCACCGTCCCTAGAATCACATAGATGTGGGAGACATGGTCTGTGGGCACGATGGGGATGGGTTCATGATTGGAACTGATGATCTTAGAGGTCTTTTCCAGCCTTAATGATTCCATGATTCTATGACTCTTGTGAAAAGTTGCTCTCCTGAACTCTGATTACTTTATACTTGATATTTCTCTTAACCTAGAGATCAGTAGGACATTTTAATTTAGTGACCGTGAATCTCTATCAGCTCCAGTTTTGGTGGGACTCCTGCGGCTAGCTGTGGGCAGTGAACGCCCTGTTCGTCACAGTGCGCTCCAGCCCAGCAGCCACAGGAGCTGTGTGGAGCAGGATACCAGCTGCCCCAGTCCATGTGCAGAGCTCTGGAGGCTGTCCTCACCCTGCAGAGTTTTAGCCAGGCAGGAGTCTACACTCAAGTGTTGTTCCGGGTGTCCTCAGGCCAAGGTCCATTTCCATGGCTTGCTTGTTCTGAGAGAGACTGAACTCATGAAGACTTGAGATAGTGTGAAAGGACAGAACAACATTCTGTGATGACGGGTTTTGGTATTTTGCCTCCCTTTGCTCGTGCAGGCCCTGGATTCAGACGGCACCACGTACTCCGGCTTTGAGAGCTCCATCAAGAGGAAGCTGACGGCCAGGGTTCCGGTGGCGAGCAGCCCTGTTGTCACAAGGTGGCAGCAGCGACATGCAGGAGGCTTCACAGCGGAGCCGCGCCGGGCCCGCAGCGCAGGCCTTTGTGCCCTCAGGGGCGCCTGGCTCGTCAGCACGCGCGGGAGGACTGCAGGTGGGGCAGGAGACAGGGCGGCATCGTGAAGGGACTGCTGAAATCAGCAGGAGCAGGCAGTTAGCGCAAGGTGTGCCACTGTGCTCCCCATGTCCTAGTGGACAAGGGCTCCCGGCTGCTGCAGTGGCAGTGTGTGCAGGCAATGAGATCAGAGGCAGCTTTCCTCTAGCGGGATTACACTGCTGACATGATAAGAGAACCAGGCCCAAGGTTCCGGCTACTACTGCACAGGCAGACAGGACAGCAGGCCATACATCTGGTTGACATCAAATGTGGCAGTTAAAAGACAAGCCTAAACCTCTTTTTTAAGCAAGTAATTTCTGTTGCAGGCGAACTTTTTTTTGCATCTGCAATAGAATCTCTTTTGTTGTTGCGCTTTTGCTTATGGAGTAGCTAACAATAACTGACAGGACAGAAAGAATTCTTGCAGAAGACCTCTCCCTTCTGCGTCTCCTTTCCACTGCACATGGATACCACTGACCTGGCCATAACTGCAGAACTTTGACCAGTCTGCGTGCCTGGACATGTTGTAGTGCACACTTACAGACAGCACACTGATAGAGAAGCCTGCCCTATGTTATTCTCTCCTCTGATGCCTCAGGCTTTAGGTATTGATAAAAGTCCTGTCTGCCAAGGAGCACTCGCCCGCAGTTCATCTTAGGGAGAGGCTTGTCTGAATGCCGTTCAGAACACTGCTTAAACTTTCAGGACTTTGACATGGTCTGAAGAACTGACTCTGGAGGAGGTTATTTTTCTCCATCCACAACAGAGGGAGGCCGAGGAAACAGTAAGAGTTTAACCTTTAAACAAGCTCACTCCTACTTCAGTAGTGGTAAGGAAAGGTGGAGAATGGTTTACACACTGCATATACAAGAAGAGCTTCCTGGAATAATGAGGGAAATAAACAAAGCACATTCCTTGATTAATAATGGAAATATTTAGACAGCAAATAAAAGGTATTCTTTAGCATTCCTGATGTGTTCCCATGAGGCTATGACTATGACTGTTGGAGACAAACTGAAATTCTGTCTTCTGCAGAGCAGAATACTCTTCAGCAGTGTGGACATAAGGCATGCCCAGCTGTTGGAAAATCAGGCTCTTAAGCAAACTCAGTTATACATTATCTCAGTTTCTAGAACAGAAAGTCCTGGATGTTGTTGCCACCAGCACTGGTGAAAACCAGTATGACTTGGATTTTATGTGAGGTAGGATCCTCTGTAGCCAGTGAATTGATATGAGCTACAGAAATAGACTGTTTATAAAGTGAGTGAGCAGTATGACATTTTTCAGACATCTACTTTAAGATGAGATGAATAGCATAAGTGTCTGTTTCATTTCTCTAACGATAAAGGGAAAACAGAGTGACCAGTTCAGATGTCAGTGTTTGTATTGTCCCATTTAGTATGTCAGATAAGCTTTTAATAAGTAATGTGCTGAAAAGTACTTGACTTGAAATAATTCTCTGTAAATGAAAAAAAATACCTTTAGTTTTTATTATATATATAATATATATATATATAAATTATATATTTATACTATTAAAATTGTTTGTTTTCAGTGATGGATAAGATGCTTAAGAAGCCCTCCATCATGAAAAGTGCTGTGACTCTGTCTAGCAGGCACACTGCAGCAGGCTTGGAAAGGAGAAACGACAGGAAAACTGAACTACAAAAAAAGCAGGTGAGTAAATGCTTATAGAATATTTGCTGGTGTGTTTTATTACCTCATCTTTTGTGCAGATGCTACCATATTTACATTGAGAACAATAACAAGAAGAGATCAGTTTAGGAAATGTCCACTAGAAAAATGTCAGGAACAATTGCTATATCATTAACTTTATTTAGTGTATTTCTCTTTCTGAGTAAAACTAAATTGAAGGGCGATGACTGACTCAGTTTTTCATGTGATTCAGAACCGCAGTGAAGATCATTTTTTCAGTCGCACAGGATGTAGTACATTTTGTCACGTAGACAGAATGGGCTACTGTAAAAATTTTGCCAAAAAGTAGCTGTGAATAAAGTTTTTCGTCATGACTGGAAGCTAAAAGGTAAGTAGTTATGTTTAACAGTTATTGGTAGAGGACAGAAGAACGCATGGAATCTACTATGTGAAATAAAGGCTTCAGATCTCCTCCCACTCTGGTGCTGTTTTTTATTGCTGAACACTTTACCCTTCATTTTTACTAGTGGCCACTGACACAAAATTTCATTTCTCTTTAGGCTTTGTTTAATTCCTTTTAGTCATCTTAAATAAACCCACTCATTTTTGTTAACTTACTGAAAACTGACTTCTCATATGAATCACGGTGATACTTATCTGTGTTAATAAAAGTTATTACCATTACATATACTGAAAGCAAGGTCAATATTTTCATGCTACCTGATTGTGACTATTGTATATATTAAGTTATAAACTTGTAGTCACTGACCTGCATTCCCTTTCCTGGATTACACCAATTACAAGGTCATAGATACCTATTTTCAAGTGGTGACTTTTTTGAGAGTAACTCCTGAGTGAGGAAACTTGATAGCTGCACACCTAATGTTGTTGCTTTTACTGGTTTGCAATTCTTAATATTGTTGAGAAATTCCCATGAGAGTGTCAAAATAAACTTCAAAGAAAAAGAGGTAATGTCAAGATAGCTGGACTAGAAGTCTAGTTGGTTGTTTCTTTTAATACTTGTACTTTTGAAGACCACTGAATGTTGCAAAACAACCTATGCATTTACAACATCTTGAGAAAACCAGTTTTCATGACAATCACTTTCCTTTCTAAGTAAGCAAATTATTCTGGAAAAATCGCATGTCAAGAAAAGTCCTTTCCAGCCTTTTCACCCACCGTGATCTTACTGGAGAGTGTGCATTTTAACATTGTTGAAAAGGGACTAGAAATCTTAGTTGTATATACCCCACAGAGAAATTAAAGAAAACCTTTTTGTGAGATAAGTATGAAGTAGCATTGGTAAAATGTACTTTTTTTGCTTCAGTTTTTATGTGATATTAAAGGTGACTGCAGTGACTTTACTAATGTCAGTGTTAGTCCTTCATATCTCATTCTCTTATTCAGAGTTCTACACCAAGGACCATAACAACTTCCTGTAAGTTTGTTGTGCGGGTCTTTGAAATAACATTGTGGGATAAAATCTTCTCACATTCCAGTGAATGTATGTGGTCTTCTTGTGAGACAAAAGATTGCTTCCTTGTACATACAGTAGGTTTTCCATAGAAATATCTGCACTTATTTTAGAGGCACAGATGCAAGCAATCAGGTTAGCTTTCTGCCAAATTGACTGTATAAATCATTCAGAAAGTTCCTCTCAAAGCTGACGGCTTGCTATAGAACAGCTCTGATATTTGAAAAAGAAGAACTTTTTTCTGGTTGTTTGTGCAAGACATTTCTTATCATGATTACAACGGGGTTTTGAGGAAGAATAAAAGTGAATGTGTTTGGAAAGATAGATTTCAGAAAAAATTTAAAAAAGAACATATTAAATGGCTGGTGAAAACATCAGTGACATTTCCACCTGGCTGTAAATAAGGAGTTAAGGACCAAACAGACAACAAGCTTGAGAGCATTCATCTCAATGAAAAAAACCAACAACATTATGAAGAAGTGCGCATTATTAAGGATTATATATACATTATTAAGGATTATATATACATACATACATATACATATAGTCTTACCTGATGATCTCAGCCTTACCTGAATTTGTCTGAAGACTTAACATAATTTTCTTGAAGAAGGAAAAAATTCCAATAACAATTAAGGTTTCCCTGTACTTTTCTTCTGCATCATCTGTTTCTTTGACCCCTGGGTAGAGGTTTATATAACAAAAAATTCTTAGTTCTCTGAGACACTTTGCTTACATTTTTAGCACCTGTGGATTCAAAATGTGGTACTGGTTTAACAAATAGGATCATGGAGTCCAGACATTTGGACTCTAGCCAGGGTGAGGACTACAGTAGGTTTCATGCTGAATCAATTACTCTACAGTATATGCACCACAGAACTGATCAGACCTAAGGCATTATATATATTGTCTGCATGCAAAGAAACTTGGTGTTGTGTGCTAACAAAATTAGCCTGAATGCCAATTCAAAGGAGGGCAAGAAGACACTAAAACTCAGTGAGTGACACATAGAGGCCTAAAATATCTTCCAATAGTAAGATGACCTTGTTCAAACAGCTTTGTTAAAATGTTTATGATCATTAGCAGTGAATTGGTATTTTATGGAAGGGAAGATCATTACTGTAAGATGGAACATATGATTTGGACATTGATATTCTGTATCTTTTGCTGAATTCCTACCCAGGAGTCCAGGTGTTTTAAAACTTCTATGTGAAGAAAGTTCAATACTTCAAAGGTAGTTACGCTAACCATGGTACTTAAATATGTTCTTGACAGATTTCTTCATTCATATTTTCACTTCTATGCATAGACAGAAATGTACTACTCAGCTTCTAATGGTCCAAGAAACTGGATATAGCATGGCAGAAAGTGACATGAAGGTCTGTGAAAAAGCCAGTTGCATCTGGAAAGGTATGTTCCACTGTAGCAAATACCCCATGTACAATGAATGATAAGATAGAACAGGCTGCGTCTACACTGAGAAAATCACCAGTTCCCACAAATGTTACAGAATAGTGCAAGGTGGCTGAGATGTGTATACTGCTTGGATCCACTTGCCCTGCAGTTCCCATAGCCTCTGATGATATGGATCTCCACCTCTTCCGTTGTGGTTAAATGCTTTATCTATCACCTGGCTTGCCTTTTGGCCCCATCAGACACATCAGTGGCCCTAAAAACAATTTCCCTTTGACTTTCCAGTTTCAGATGTGTGAAATAATGTAGGTTTTTGCTGCAGACTGGGACCAGGGTATCTATTAAATGGTGTGTTGGGTACATGAGAGAGCAAGACATGCAAACCTGATGGGATCTTGCCACACCTGCCTGTAAGGAAAGGTAGGTGGTACAAACTATCCCTTGCTCTAGTCACAAATTCATCTAACCGGGAGCTGATTGATCTCCTCCAAAAATATGAGAATGAGTGAGCATATAGAGACTGTGAACGAGTGAACTACAAGCCAACTGGGATGCGAGGAGCTGATCTGTAAAATAACACAGATATTACAATTTTTTTTTAATATGAGGTTGTTCATTAGGCATCAGGCCAATATTTTGTTGTGTTCTGTCTTAGGTCATTTTTTTTCTGTGGTCTGGCTATTTCTGTATGTGCTGAATTCTTAACCAGTCAGGACCTGATTCATGCTCATGTAAGGACAGTGAGAAACAACCTCTATATGAGCCTGAAGTTCAGCTCCTGTGGAAGAAGTTGTGGAGTATGTGATAGACTGGTATATATTTGTTACTGTACAAATAAAGCTTAATTCAGAGCCTTCAGAAGCATCAGTATAGGGATTAATCATAGTATTTTTTTCCTGATGGCAAATGAATACGTGTATCAGGTATATTGGGTTTTATTCCACCCACCTACCTGTTCACTGAGTGGTCTTGTGTTACAATACTACTTACCACTTCTCAAGTCTTATTTTGAGAACTGACACAGGCACGTGAAAACCAAAATTCTTTCAAAAGCCAGTGATAATCTTCCAGTACTCAGGTAAAATAACACAAAATGAGATAATGAAGCTTAATTTCCACTGATAAAAAAATTCTGTAAAGCACATTCGTCTGTCCACAAAGTATGTGAATAGAGCTGCAAGCGTGATTTCTATGAATTTGAAGTGAATTACGCATGAGAAGAGAAAAATGAAATAAGTTATACAGATAATTTCATCCTTTCTCAGTGCTTAACCCCAGCTATCAGTATTAGAGATCATTTTCACAGTATCTCAAAAGTGTTGTCGTTCTCCGGCTGTTGTAACTAAGTGCTTCAGTTTTCTTAAACCGTCGTACTTGGCTGGGTTTGGAAGTGGTTGACAATATCAAAAACAAGACAAAACAAAACAAAAATGTAGATGTTTAAAATACATATTTTTCTGTACACCCTAATCACAGTTCAGTGATATTAAACCTTTTTTAGGGTTAGAATGGATTGTTACATGTTGTATTGGGCAGGTAAGGTCTTACAACCAACCATTCCTGCAAATCTTGATTTTTTTAATTCCACAAACTTTTAGAAGAAAATCACTGTGGCCCTTCTCTTGCTCATCTTCTGCTTTTATTTGTGTAGAGAATTTGACTGATTTGCTCTGTATTATATGCATACCACTGATATTTCTGGTGCACTTGACCCCAAAGCACCTGGGGCAACATTGGGACAGTAGAGAGGCACCTCTCATAAGAAGACACCACCACTGTGGTAAAGCCCTCGGGCAGCACTTCTGGCTAATTCATGGAAGCTCCTTCCCATACGCATGGGCACTACATCCCTAATGGATGTGCTCTAGGTCTGAGCTGCATCCCAGTGAGATGCACCACATCACTGCTGGTCACAGGTGCTCAGTGGGCAAGAGGCAGCATCTCAGAAGCTAAGCAGGGTCATACTTAGTACATTGATGGAAGACTGAAGGCCTTGGCCTTGCTTTTATTGGTTGGTGTTGATGGTCTTAGAGACCTTTTCCAATCTTGATGATTTTATTATTCTGTGATTCTATGACAGGTACCACAGCTGAAAGGAGAAAATTGTTTTTTGACAGAAATTCATTTTTGGCTGGGGGATAAGACTGAGATTGAAATAAGTATGAGATAAAATTCTCCACAATTTGTAATTGATAAGATTTCTGTATAAGATTATAATGTGTGTATTTATATTACAGAGTGCAAAAATTTTGTCAGTGTTGATTTTTACTAACAGAAAGAGTGGTTGTTGAATTGGATAATGTCTTCTGCCTGTGAAGTTTTGGCGTTCATTTTAAGTGCTCTTCTCTAGGGAATATTTCAAAAATGAAGTCAAAACATGAAGAGAAATATAGAAATATTAGTTTCCAGATCTCCACGCTGCATATTACAGCTAGATAAAAATGTAGCTTTAAATGATTAATGGTGATAATGATCTTTTTTTTACTATGATGCTTAGCAGTTGTTGCAGAATCACGTAGACAATGACCACAAAGGCTGACTGTTCTGCTTGCTCATACTTGAAACTTACTGTTACTGCTTTGGTTTCTGAAGTTGGTGTGGTCACAAGCTTAGAATGCTGTCATCAAAGTGGGTTTAAAAACCTTTTCCTGTGCTAGGTGTTGATAGAGGAGACTGTTGAAGAGAAATTAACACCAGAAAGCAAAAAGGTTAATTGCTGCATGAGGGTTTTGAGGTGGGAGAGCCCATATGAACTGCTACTGGCAACTTCTCGCAAAAGCTAACCAGACAAAGACATGAAATGTATTTTGTAATGAACTGTGATGCAATTTAAACAAAATACAGCAAACTCTATTCTCCACTGTAGCTGAGTGCATCCATGGAGATTTGATAGAGCTATTAAAAGGAAGATTTCACTTACTTTTCTGTGGGGTGTTTTGGCCTAACCAGGAAGAGTTAGACCCATCTAGACATCTGTGGTTCACAGACAAAGACTAACATAGTGACTGTGAAAGGCTTTGGTGTTTTGCATGACTGAACTGTGTGTGATGAATCTTCAAATGCAGGATGCCAAGAAGAGATGCAGAATGAGTTCAGAGCTGTTACCATCATGAAGCCATCAGTGACATTGGAGCCAGAACTGAGGCTTCATATTACTGGTTTGCATGATGATTACTGTAAGTTATTTTCTTATGACTGAGGCTTCTGCAGAGATTGAGAACACTTATATATACTTCAAGAAAGATGGCAAGGGTGTTTCCCCTTCAGATCAAATTGGAATTCTCCAATACTTATGCATGATGTCATTTTTTCTTAGACATTTGCAGCTTGAAAATGAAAACTGCCTGTCGCAGAATGTAGAGATCACTGATCAAACCCTAGAATCATTATCACCTAGGTCTCGTGCAACTTTTTTCAGCAATAGGTCTCAATTCAGATTTAAAATCAGACCAGTAAACAAACATCCATGCTAAGGACATTTCAGCTGTTAGCAGTCTGTCAACACAGCAACTTAATGTAACAGACTTTGAAATCTCTAGTTATGGGAGAAACCAGTGATTTGTTTATGGTTTAGATGATAGATATCTTCTGAACTAAATTCTCACCTACATTTTTCGTGGTAAAATTAAACATGCACAGAAAAAATGCATGGTTTTCTGTTCTACATTGGTAAATATATTAAAGCACTTCTGAAACCATAACAATTCCATAGTTGAAAGTGTTAGAAATTGTTCCTGTGTTTCGATTGTTGTTTGTGTTTTGTTTCCTTTTTCCTTTTTTTTTTTTTTCCCTAAGGTGTTCTTGCAAGCATTCTTTAGATGTAAATCTGTGAGCAAGCCAAAAGTTTGTTTGCATCCAGATTGAGTCTGGATTTCTATATGAGTGATTTTTCATGATTATGCACAAGGTGCATCCACAAAATAATAGCATTAGTAGAATTCTTTGGAAGTTATTTTTAGTGCTTATTTCTGACTGTAGGAATAAGGACTCTAATCAAACAGCTGACTGAAAGATTAAGCTGTTCTTCAGAGTGATTTTAGTTACTGAAGCACAGCATCAGACCTTGGCCTATGCTAACTATTTTCTTCAGGGATCATTTAAAATGACTTTTCAGCTGTCATAAATGCAGCAGCTGATGATTCGCATTGACATCAGAGTGTGTACTGTTATTCTGTGTCAGAATTAGATGTTGCATAACAACTCTTTCTGGCCTGCACTTTCTACCTGACACAGCAGGCTGTTCTGAGGCTAACTGGTGTAATGACTTCTTTTGCCAGGGTCTGTAGTGCACCTAACATAAGTGGAAACAGTATTTCTTGCATTTGCTTACTGAGCAAACTTTGTGGGAGAGGTGCAGAATTTCCCTGATTCCTTTCTGCATTTTTCTTCTGTTACATGGAGAGTAAATGTTAGTACTAGCTCAAGGAAGAACTGTAGCATATAGACTTTCTCCTATGTCTTTACCAATAACATGAATTATTTTGGAAAAAGAATGTTTTTGCAATTCTAGCTGGTACTGGAGAACACTTATTTCTGGTGGCAGAAATTTGGGTGATGCAGCCATCCAAAATGATGGATGATAGGTGTAAAAACATTTAGTGAGGAATCTGTAAGTCATATTCTTCTGTATAAATATACAGATTTGTGGTAGTTAACCTAATGAAGATCTTTTCTTGTTAGAAATACTCACCTTCATTCAGTTCTCATTTATGTCCTAGTTGAATATGAGCTGGTAGTGGCTTCATTGAAGCAATGCCATGAGTTTTTCCTGTAGCTATTAAAAGAAAGCCTCTGCCCCAGCCATAACCCCTCCAACCCCAGCTTATTACCTCTAACCTTCTTGCAGTAATTTTTAGAAGCTTTTTTCTAGATCTAAACATACTGGACTGGAACCTTGAAAATCTCATTGCTGTTGCTCTGGGATCTGCTGCATATATTTGGAATGGAAGAACTCTTCAAGGCATTGAAAGCATTGGTTTAAATTCCAGTTCCAAATACATTTCATCTCTAGCTTGGATAAAAGAGGGAACTTGCCTTGCTGTTGGCACTAGTGATGGAGAAGTGCAAGTACTTAATATTTTACTTTTTTGTCTTTCTCAGTTTTTAGCTGAAGTGTTGATTAGACAATCTTCTTTGCTTAATGAAACAAAACAAGAAAGTTGGCTAAAATACAGAAAAACTCTTCTGTAGATGGTGTATAACAATTACATCATCCCTCATGTTACAGAATAACTGCACAGAGGGACTCAGATTTTCTTTTCATCAGTAATTGGAACTCTTTAATTATTTTTCTCAGCAAAGGCCAGTCTTGTATCTCTCTTGCTAAGATCACTCTAGTAGAGACAGATACTTTTAGAACTTGAGCAAAAATTGTACTCATAGATTCACATCCCTGAATTTCACTTCAGATTATACACATAAAACTCTGTCTCCTGTTGTAGTACAGTCCTGTTTTGAAAGGTCTTTGTTGGATGTTGGCTGTGATAGTGAATAATGTGGGGATCTATCTGGTAGAGTTCTGATTCAGCACGCCAGTGCTTTCATACACAGGCTTCCAAATACTGGCGTATAAATAGCTTTAAATTTAGAAATGCACATTCTCTTAAAATAAAATAAAGTGAAATATTGTGTGAAAAAAATAGTGTGAAATGAATGAGCTTGAAGTTGTCTGTATGTCATATCAGAACTGAATAGTGTTTACTGCAAACAAATGAAGAAAACAAAGACATTTCTCTCTCTCCCTCTCTCTCTCTGTCTCTTTTTCTGTTAAATTTGCATCTGTTCTGTGTGTTTGTTTTGTATTGGCAGCTGTGGGACATTGAAAGGAAAAGGAGGTTGAGAAATATGTTTGGCCACCTGTCTGTAGTTGGAGCTCTGAGCTGGAATCATTATATTCTGAGCAGGTGAGTGCTATAGTCTATTCACAGAAAGAATCCTGATGTTTTCATCTAGATAGGCATCCCAATTATTTGATTCGTTTTTGTTGGTTTTGGTTGAAAATGCTTTATTCTTTACCAGCCACCACAGAAACAATATGTAAGTATTCTTTATGTCAGGAAAGCAACCAAATGGAATTTAACCTGCCTCTTTAGTCTCTGTTTTTACTGTTCTTCAGAAATCTGCCGCCGCTTCTAGAATTTCTGTAAGATGTGGAGCACATGGTTGTGTTTTTTTTCGGAATATTTGAGCATTAATTGATATTATCTGCAGTGGGTCCAGATTTCAAAAAAGATACCTTACTCAGTGCAACGGAGAGGACATGTAGCTTAGGCTGCCCTTCCACTGACTTTTCAGATGCATGGCAAAGCACGGTTGTTAGAGTTACACTCTTCTCTAGCTGTGTATCTGTGAGGAAAGGCCAGTTCAATGCTAGCCAGAACCTGAACCCTATTTTGAGGAAGGATCAAAATTGTTGCCTTTTGCCCTGCCAAGTTGAATATTTTATATTTAGGCATCATTTCAATATGCAGACTCATGAGAAGGATAAAGCATCCAATTTTGTGTTTTATTCATTTTTTCTCTCAGTTTCCAGTTCAGATCTTTGTCTTAGGCTTGAAGAATGCGAGGGAAAACTTGATTATAAAGGATGTTTCTCCTATTTTAAAATAATGTGATAGTCTTCTGTTTTACATAAACAGAAATTATACCCAGCATTCACTGATTATATTGTTAATCTCAAAATGAAAGTTGTTATCTCCTGATGAGATCACCAGAAGTAGTTTTGTTTCACAAGATGTGGCTTTTGATTCTGTTGGATCTGCTAGGCAGAGTAAGATGCAACATTACCAACTGATCAACAGTTAATAAAATGCTTTGGCTTTTGCAGAATGTTTGTGAATTACATTACAAATACACATCTTCAGCGTCTGCTTGGCATAACCTTATCATAGTCAGTATTAGTTTCAGTTTGCATTTCAGCTTAGCCAAAGAATTGAAAGCAATAAAAACTTACATTACAAATCTTTCTGAATAGAAATTGATTCTAAAATTCAACATGAAACTGTGAACTACACTTCTTGATAGATTAAGTTCAGATGACATTTATTTCTCTTTCTAGGTTTGATATTAGCCAATTAATTACTACACAGTTAAACTACCTGTATAATCAGAAAAAAATAGAGTTAATATTCATTGCTACTAAAATAAAATCAGCATTTTTACAGGAAACTTCACTATAAGTTGGTACTTTGATACTTTGGAATAGCGTACTAATTCCTATAGTTAAAAATAGACTGATGACAAATCCTCAAGGATATCCAAATACGTTTCAGTACAGCAGATTAATTTGTCCTAATTAATTGGTTCTATTTCTATTTAGCAAAATAGATGCAATATTTTGTGTCAAAAGAAAATAATATTGACTTCACAGAATCACAGAATTGTAGGGGTTGGAAGGGACCTCCAGAGATCATCGAGTCCAACCCCCCTGCCAAAGCAGGTTCCCTACAGCAGGTCGCACAGGTAGGCATCCAGGCAGGTCTTGAACATCTCCAGAGAAGGAGACTCCACCACCTCCCTGGGCAGCCTGTTCCAGTGCTCCGTCACCTCACTGTAAAGAAGTTCTTGCACACATTTGTGTGGAACTTCCTATGCTGCAGTTTCCAAACGTTTCCCCTTGTCCTGTCTCCAGAACAGAAAAGAGTCTGACCTCGCCACTCTGCCCCCCACACCTTAGATATTTATAGACCTGGATCAGGTCCCCTCTCAGTCTCCTTTTCTCAAGGCTGAACAGACCCAGTTCACTCAGCCTTTCTTCATAGGAGAGATGTTCCAGGCCCTTCACCATCTTCGTGGCCCTCCGCTGGACTCTTTCCAAGAGATCCCTGTCTTTTTTGTACTGGGGAGCCCAGAACTGGACACAGTACTCCAGATGAGGACTTAGCAGGGCAGAGTAGAGGGGGAGGATCACCTCTCTCAACCTGCTGGCCATACTCCTCTTAATTTAGCAAAAATCCCATTTCTTTTCAAAGAATATTCTCTGGAGCCAAGGTCTTTCGCACTTATTCAGTCATTGAAAATCTCTTCATGTGTAACACTGGCAATTCAGTCCATTTCTGTTGGTTAGATTTTCTGCTTATTATTTTGGAGGAGGTCTGCATTGTTTTTCAGAAAGCAAAGCCTCTGAGTATAATGACATAATGACGTGTATCTTCCTAGTTATTTTCCATAAAGACGTGCTTAATATTCACTGGTGAAGTGCTTGGTTGGAATCTTACTAATTTTTTGTGGCCTTCAAGAGTTTGAGAAGTCCATAATTCAAGCACATTGAATGACATTTCTTGCAATCAGTCACTTAATGTATGTGTTTATAGATTTTCCAAATTAGTCAACTTGTATCTGAAGATTCTTTAAGAGTCTGTGTGTCTCCAATCAACATAGCCTTAAATAAATCTGTTGCAGTAATGTGAGATACTTGTTTCTCAGTTATTCAGATACCCTAATACAAGCTGGGGGATGTGAAGATGAAGCACAGCCCTGCCAAAAAGGGCTTGGGAGTACTAGTGGATGGCAAGCTGGAGATGAGCCAGCAATGTGCCCTTGCAGCTCAGAAAGCCAACCTTATTCTGGGCTGCATTGATAGAAGGGTGGCCAGCAGGGCAAGGGGGGTGAACCTTGCCATCTGCTCTGCAGGAGATAGACCACATGTGGAGTACTGCATCCAGATATGGAGTCCTCAGTACAGGAGAGACATAGTCACTCCATAGTTGTAGTGTGTCCAGAGGCGGGCATACAAAAAAATGATCCATGGGATGACACATCTCCCCTGTGAGTACAGGCTGAGATATCTGGGGTTGTTTAACCTGGAGAAGAGAAACCCTGGGGAGACCTGATTGATAGTGCCTTTCAGTATCTAAACAAAGTTGTAAGAAAGACACTTCAAAATTGTCTGTTTTTAATGGACAAGGGAAAATGGTATCAAACTGAAAAAGGGAAGATTTAGATTGGATGTAAGAGAGATTATTAAATTTTTTACAATAAGGATGGTGAGGCACTGGAACAGTGTTCAAAGAGATGGTGGATGCCTCATCCTTGGAGACATTCGAGGTCAGTCTAGACCAGTCTGTGAGCAACCTCATCTAGTTGTAGGTATCCCTGTTCATTGCAGGGGAGATGGACTAGATGACCTTTAAAGATCCCTTCCAACTCTAAGGATTCTATGATTTTATGATTCTGTGAAAATATGTATAGAGGTTGATTATTTCAGTGCCATAAGAATAGATGGAACAGTCGCTTTCCAGTGCGTGTCATGGTGTCCAGGAGATCAGGCACAGCTAGCACAGGTTCATGAAAGGCATGCCATGCTTGACCAACCTCATCTCCTTCTACGACTGGGTGACCAGACTGGTAGACGAGGGACAGACTGTTGTCTACCTAGACTTCAGCACAGCCTTTGACATGGTCTCTCACAGGATTCTCCTGGGGAAACTGGCTGCCCGTGGCCTGCACAGGTACAGACTTCCTTGGGTGAGAAAGTGGCCAGAGGGCCGTGCCCAGAGGGTAGTTAGTGGTGAATGGAGTGTAGTCCAGCTGGCGACCTGTTACAAGTGGTGTCCCTCAGGGGTCGGTACTGGGGCCCATCTTGTTTAATATCTTTATTGATGACCTAGAAGAGGAGATTGAGTGTACCCTCAGTAAATTTGCAGATGACAGCAAGCTGGGAGGTGGTGTTGATCTGCGTGAGGGTAGGGAGGCCCTTCAGAGGGATCTGGATAAGCTGGGTCGCTGGGCTGAGGTGAATGGGATGAGGTTCAACAAGGCCAAGTGCCGCGTCCTGCACTTTGGTCCACAACAACCCCATGCAGCGTTATAGGTTTGGGGATGAGTGGCTGGATGAGTGTGAAGAGGAAAGGGACCTGGGGGTGTTGGTTGATGCTCGGCTGAACATGAGCCGACAGTGTGCCCAGGTGGCCAAGAGGGCCAACGGCATCCTGGCCTGCATTAGAAATGATGTGGCCAGCAGGAGCAGGGAGGTGATCATCCCCCTCTACTCAGAACTGGTGAGGCCGCACTTAGAGTATTGTGTTCAGTTTTGGGCCCCTCACTGCATGAAACACATTGAGTCCCTGGAACATGTGCAGAGAAGGGCAACAAAACTGGTGAGGGATCTGGCGCACAAGTCTTATGAGGAGGCTCAGAGGTGACCTTATTGCTCTCTACTTCCTGAAGGGAGGTTGTGATGAGGAGGGTTTTGGCTTCTTTTCCCAGACAACAAACAGGACCCAAGGAAATGGCCCCAAGTTGTACCAGAGGAGGTTTAGATTAGACATAAGGAAGAACTTTTTCTCTCAGAGGGTGGTCAGGCACTGGAATGGCTGCCCAGGGAGGTGGTGGAGTCGCCATCCCTGGCAGTGTTCAAGAGGCGTCTGGATGAGGAGCTGTGAGATATGATTTAGTGGCTTGTGATAGCAATGGTGATGGGAGGATGGTTGGACTAAGTGATCGTTCAGGTTGTTTCCATCCTTGTAATTGTATGATTCTGTGGTTTTAAGATTCTATGAAAACCAGGGAAAAGAAAATATGCTGTAAGCTATTTTCAGTATATTCAACTCAGTTATACTATTGCTGAGTGAAGCCTATGTCAGAACAGTAATAGAGGCCATGCTTCCAAAATGGGCCCTTCTTAGTAAACTGACATAACTGGCCAAGGTAACTAAGGGAGAGCAGAGTCTGAGGGAGTGGTCCCTCAGGACAGGTAAAACTATGTATGCATTTCCTAACAGTGATACAACAGTGTCAAAATGAAAGGGTAAATAAGCTGTGACAAGTAGAGTTGATTAGTGCAGATTTTCTTTCAATGTGGAAGTGGGAGGGAGAAAGAGAAGGTGAGGGAGAGAATTTAAGAGCAGAGTGCTAATGACTACTACTGGTAAACCCTTAATGAGGCCAATAAAGTTTTACCCTTGGAGTAATATCTGGCCTTGGTAAAATTCATTTTGCAAAACTTTTCTTGAAGTACAGGTTAGAGTCTACATTAACTGGTTAACTGCTAAACAAGGTACAGATTGGTGGTGTACACTGTAGTATGTCTTCAGGAAAATGAAAACTGATGGAGAGCAGGTAATTTGCCGGGCTTCTACTGAGCAGCTGCTTTGCTACTTTCTATTTTCAGTCACCCCTCTATTGTTGCTCTGCAGGCGTGCTTCACTCTGATGTGGTTTGCTGCTGAAACTACTGAAGCAACTTCAGGATGATAGTGTAGCATCTTGTCTTTAATATTGAACACATGCTGTCTTTTCTCAATTACAGTGGTTCAAGACTGGGATCTATTCATCACCATGATGTTCGAGTGGCTCAGCATCACGTTGGTACTCTTTGCCAAAACAAACAAAGCATTTGCAGCCTCAAATGGTCATTAACCAATCAGTTGCTCGCAAGTGGGTCTAGTGATGGTATACTGAATATCTGGCACAGTGATCCTGGTGTGAAAGTGCAGACGCAGCCACTGAAAACCATTCCTCATTCTTCAGCAGTTAAGGTATATGGAGGAGGAAGAAAAATTCTGTATTTATTCTCATGAAGTTATGTTGTTGATGCAAACTGTTGTGGAATTTTTCAGATTGTCTCAGTTTATTTAGATTTCTATTAGCTTCTTCTCTCCTGATTGTTATGCAGATAATTTTAATACCAGTTCTCTTGGTGCAGATAAATACAGTAATGCTTTGATTGATCATGAAATTCTACTGGATTAGTAGGCCTTTGCAAATATTATATCAATCAAAAAATCTACAACCTCCTCCTTCTCTCTTTCTCCATCCTGCAAAGTAAAATTCTGTGACACAATGCTTAAAAATCATCAGACAGGATCTTTCTGATGTTGGAATTCTGGAAAGTTGTCTCTGGAATTTCCTCTGCTGAAATGATTTTAAATGTGAAGTTTCTTCTGCTCTCTTGCCCGTTTCAAGTTATGATTGCTGATAGCAAAGGATCTGAAGAGAGAAACTGGAAATGAAACAACTTTGATTCTTTATTAAGTCCTAGTCTGGGAAGGAGAGGTCAGATATCAGCAAGAATGAGGAATCCAGCATTTATAAGCTGCTTATTCTCCCAGAAAGGTTTGAGACTATCCTGAAGCATTGATGATAAAGGATCAGAGAAGATTATTGAAACGGGTGCAAATGAGTTCTTTGTAACTTTTCTTCAGATAGAGTCAGGGCCCTGGGCATATTGAAGAAATACCTCAAAGAACGTATCTTTATTTAAAGTCCCTTAGATGGCATTGCTCAAGCTTCTACAACGGCTTGAGTTAGACAGAAGTCAAACTGCATTATGTTGGATTCTTCTAGTACTGAGGTGTGAATCTGACCTGTGAAGAGCGAGCAGAGAAGCTGGAATGTTATGAGCTTAAGTAATGCAGTGTAGGTAGGCTAATGTAAAGAAGTGACAAAGAGAGCAGTAATTGGAGATTTGGGATCCTATGCATCTGTATAGCAGGAAGAGCATGATGTAGTAAGGAATAAAAAGCAAGAGATATATTCTGGGTGCTTGTTGCAGATCATTTTTCCAACTGGGCTTTTAAGTAAAATCTATTCTGTTTTCCAGTTAACCTCCCAGTCTGTTCTGGTGTCTGATTTCTTTTCTTTTTTTTTTTTTTTAAGGCTATGAACTGGTGTCCTTGGCAGTCCAATGTCCTTGCTACAGGGGGTGGAATGAAAGATGGGATTTTGCGTGTCTGGGACATAAACAGTGAGAAACTCCTCCAGAGTGCAGCTACAGATTCTCAGGTGAAGATGAAATATCTGCATACTCTGGCTCTGCTCTGCATAGCTGTATATCACAGCTGTATAGCTGTGCTTCTTTGGCAAACTCCCACTGACTTTGAGGGTGGTTCTGCGGGCAAGAGAACAGCAGGATTTTCTGTGTGTCTGCAGTTTGCTACATTTGGCCCTGAAGTGTGGGGCTGGAATCAGAAGTAGTTTGTTTTTCATTTACAATTTCTCTTCACACAGAAAGGCTTGAAAAGAAGGTAGTCTCACAGCCAGACACTTTTCATCATCTTTTTATTTGTGGCGATAGTGGGTTTGGCCAGAATTCTCATGAAGAGAGAGCGCTAATGGGGAAGATGGCTACCCAGATTGCTGGGTTGGGGAGAGGTCTAAGAGTCAGAGGGCAGGCATCAGTCTCTTGGGTTAGAATACTAGGAGACGGAGAAAAAATTCTCAGCTGGAATAAAGCAGTATAGCTGATGATTTTCCTGGAGCTGTGACAACTTGGAGATATGCTTAGAGGACCTTGGTTTCATACTGATAGGCTATTAATGCATTTAGTCTATAGAGCAGCTGTACCTTGAAGTGTTGCAAGAAATGAAATCATCCTTCTAAATAAGTAAATATTCTGCTGAGGCTATTTCTCAGTAACTTCTTCAAATGCCCTAGGTAACATTTCAGATCTCCTGAATGATCTATGTTGATTCATTCTGAAAACTAAAAGAATTTTAAATTGCAATAGATTTGTTCATTGCTCTGGTTACCCAAAACCAGTGAACTGATGACTGGACAAGGCCTTCCTGGAAATCAGATGAAAATATGGAAGCATCCAGCACTTATCAATTCATCAGAACTCTATGGCAAGTATTTCAGTTCACTGTTTTAGATATTTCAATTACCCATTTTTCTCTCTGACCAGTTTTTTTTTTTTTTTTTTTTTTTTTTTTAAATATGTACATTATACATTTAAGTAAAATAAAGCTTAAAGAGCACTCACCTACACTTCTTTATCTACATGCAGGTATTCATTCATTAAGTCTTAATGCATGAGATCGTAAAGATTGACTTAGTAAGATAATGATGTAAATTTTTTCTGTAAAATTCTGTACAGTTTTAGTGATGATCTCCTATCATTTCTAAAGCTGTCCTAGTCGCAGACTGTGGATTTAGACTTCTCCCTGAGGATTACTAAACCTGGACTGAGTGTGCTGGTGTCAGCTTGCTTCAAATACATTGTAGGCTGGTGGCCTTTTAAATGACACAAACTAGATATGATTCTTCAGTTTTGCAGCTCATTGAGCCAGGATATTGTACCAGCTTCCAGATTAAGTTTGAATGTGATAAATCTCCGTGTGTTATCAAGAGCTGTCTGAGTGTTAATGAATGCTTTTGACTGTGAAGCAGTGCAGTGCCTTGTGTTGTCCTTGTACCATGCTGATAGCTAGGGGAAGTGTAGTCTCCTTACAGTTCTGTTTCAGTCCATAAAGCTGTAGTGTTCCAGCTGTTGTTTGCTATTAAGCCTTCTTGTTGCTTGTGTTTGCTGTCATTTTGATGCATTGATTTTCACTTGTTTCAGTGTTAAATTAACCAGTAAACAAATAAATGTAACTGAATTTTGTTGTTGAATCCTTTATGTAATGCTGAATATCTTGAAAACACTCAGTAGGAATGAAGTTCATCAGGCATTGTTAAGTACTTCAGTAATTGAGATTGCCTATTACTGAGCATAATTACAACAGAATTCTGACTGATACTAATCCTTTTACACCAGAGTCCATTTTTGGTTCACGTCTAATAGAACTATAGAACAGTTTACTAGAAGATTCATTTTGGATGTAAATGTAATCCCCTTAGAACTTAAAAAGTTTTTATCAAAGAAAATACGTAATAAAACAAAATATGCAATTTCTTTGAAAAAATACCCTGGTGTGATCTTCAAACAATGATGTAAAACTCCACCCTTCTCCACTAGGAAAGTGTGGAAATTTATAATTTTTACTTTTCTGATTTCTTCTGATCCCCCAACTCTTCAAATGAAACTAGTAATAAGTTTTTCAATCAGTGTTGTGGTCCAAAGACCACATCTGCAATTCCTTCTTTAGAGCTGTTAGAGACACTGAATGGAACAAGAGTGTAAGAAATTTGCTGTCTTTGTAAATTCATGGTTTTTGATACTGACAAAGATCATGTAGTCTTTAATAGGTTGAGAAGGATCAAAGCCTCAAAATAATACCTGCTGAAATAATAAATAATGGTATCAAAATTCTAGTCACAAAGTTTAGGTGGGGGATATTTTTTAGCACCAGGACACCAGAATCTTGCTTTCGGTCTGCAGTTTTATGCATCTTCATGGAGTACTACTGTATAAATCCTACAGTTTCAGAAGGCCTTACAGTTCTCCACATGCTTATCTTCATAATGCTGTTTTGAGCTAGAAAGAGAAATGCCACCTCCATTGTATTGATGGATAATTCAGGTGCAGAGGCTGAGAACACAGATCACCTATATTCATTCAAAATGATCACCCAAGATTTTCTTCATAACTTTTCACTTCTTTTCAGGATAAGACTGGTCTGTTTTTAGACGAGGAACGCTACATCTCAAAATCCTCGTTGTTTTTCTCTTAGGTGTCTGTGTCAGCTTTATGATTGTCAGTGACTCACCCCCAAATAAGCTAATGACCAGCAAATTGCAGTAAAAACGCGTCTAATTACCTGTGCCCCCACGTGCCTAAAATCCCCATGGATTTTCTTAAGAGTGACATTGTGCAGGACCACATGGTAGGTCTGTGTAAGAGTTGTGGAGCAAATCTCGTCTCAGTTTAGTATCAAACAATTTCTTTAGTTCCGTCAGTTGATTCTACTGTGAGAGACACTTGTATAACTGAGTTAATGAGTTGTGTACATTATTTATGCTGTTAGACTAGGGTAGCTTCTGGCCTTCAGTTACAGCTGCCAAAATTTTCTCAAACTGCAGACAAAACCAAATGTAAAATTCCAATAAATTGTTCATTGGGATCACTGTTAAAAGATCTTCCCAACAGTAATAATGCAGCAGCTGGAACCACTATCTTGTAATTGTTGGATCAGCTACTAAGTGTCGCGAGGCATAAGCAGCCAGATGGGAAAGCTCAGCAGTCAGACTCATTACCAAACACAGACTTAATTATAAATGCAGAGAAGAAACAAAAGTGCAGGTTTCATGTTCTCCTTTGACAGAAATATCTTTTCAGTGTGGCTCAGTCCTGGAAGTTAAAGCCTGGTCCCTAAAGGAAGATACTGCCTTCAGCTCTTAATGTGAAAATACTCTGTACAAAAGGCTATCTTTGCACATCTTGCAGGGTATCAACCCGGTGCAGTAAAGGCAGAACACCTATAGGTAGAAAAAGCGATCGACAATCTCTGTGTAAAATCGTGATGTATCTTGGCATTTTTTTTAACATATTTTATTTTTCAGGTCATAAAAGGAGAGTCCTGCATATAGCCTTAAGCCCAGATCAGAGGAGGCTCCTTTCGGTCGCTGCTGATGGGATAGCTTGTCTGTGGAAATGCCATGAATATGAAGAGAACAATGAAAAAAAAGAAAGTTTTTTTTCTAATGATTATTAGAGCTCATTCTTTTGACTTATTTTCCTTGAAAGCAAATGGTTTTATGTATTTCACTCATTCAGTAATTCAAAATATGTGTATTCCTTCCAACTGAAACATGGCAAAAGATAGTGTCATTCTTTCAAGAGTAAAGCAATTTTCTCCATTTAGTCCATTATATGAAATGTTAGTAGCTTGTCTTACTTAGCCTAGAGGGAAAAAATTCTAACTCTTTCAAACAAATCATTTTTGTTTTCATTAAACTAGTAAGCATGAATGGAATCCAGCCCATGCCAACATAAGGTCTTAGGTCCTGTTTTTAGCTATGATTCTTGTAATTTTACATGGTCTGCGTCTGTATTGAAATCCAAATGCCAGGCTGTTTAAATTGCATTGAATCTGTCAAGGGCTGGGGTCAGTAGGTACCAGTCAAGGGACTGGATTGTTCCGTATATCACAAAGCTCATAGTACAGAATCCGACAAAACATTTCTGGAGATCATAGCAAACATATGATGCTAAATAAAAATAAATGATTTCTTGACAATTCTTCAGCATTTCTGTCATAGCAATGATAATTAACTTTATTAGCTAAATAAGCTGTATCAAGTTCAGAATTTTTTCCTTATATGCACTCACTGTGTTTGTCAAATGTTTGAAATACAAATAACTGCATAATAATTCTATTAATATCCAGAGTTTTGTAATCAGCTTGTCAATAAACCAGACAGGCATAGTCAGAGAAGCGCAGCAGTTAGTTTTTTATCCCTTAAGGGTAGCAATTTAGTTCTGGGTGTCCACAGATCTGGCAGCTGTCACCCTTGTATGAATTTTACCTAATGCCACACCTCTTGCACTTTAATTGGAGTTTTCTGTAAAATACCTATGTACTGTCAATAGCTAAGAAAGAATGTCAGATTTGATCTTCAGATGCTACTCAAATACAATTCCAAACCATATTTTAGCCATAAGTGTCTCTGGAACTTTGATTTCATTATTGGGAATGAAGAAAGGCAAGGATTCACTCTTGCATTTGTCTTAAAAGCCTCGTGAGTTCAGAAGCTCATTAGGGTTTTTTCCCAGTTGAAATGTATGTAGTGTCTTTCCTGTAGCTGAACAGTGAGAAAATGGGATATAAGTGGGGTAGATCAATGTCAATGGAAAAATAAGCTGTCGGTCAAATATTTGAAAAGAGAAGCAACATTAACTGGCGCACAGGCATCTCAGGAAATGAATGTGAAACTCTCTTGTCTTTAGTTCTCATCATTTTAAAAGCCTTATCTGATATTTGTAAGTCACATGATCACTAATTTTAGGTCTGGCAGGTTGAGACCACTCATCTTTTTTACCTGACAAGTTACTAATTTACAATAAATCTGCCACCAAGTTAACCCTTCTGTGGTCACCTTGTGTCATCTTCGGAAAAGGTTAGAAAATGAGAACAGCAATCATCAATTTTGAAATTACTATGAAGAAGCTGATGCCTAAGAATGGGAGATAACTTACACTGAGCCTGTCTCCTAACATATCTTGTAATATTTGACCAATTATTTAACTTAAATTAATTAAAATAGACCAACTTAAATATTCAAAATAGTGTTTTACACAATTTTAAAGGTTGGTTTTGTTTTGTTTTTTTTTTAGTGATAAAAAAGCATTTTCTCTCTTTTCACTGGGAGAAAAGCTGTGGAATTCCGTAGAGTTCTTTACTCATGTATTTCAGGAATTGCCCCAGAAATTCTTTTTGTTCTTGGATGGTACATAAATGTTGGTTTGCCAAATAAAAGAAAAGAGGGTGGAGGACTGTGGTGGAGAAGGAACTAATCAACACTGCAGTTAGGTGTATTTTGTTGGATGTTTATCTGTTGAAATAAAAACCAAAATACAAAAAACAAAAACCACTTATTTTTAAACTGAGAATTGTTTAGTACTTAATTATCCAAGTTCATTATTGAGTTGTGAAGCTATATTGGCCCCAGAAGTATTTCAACACAATATCTGACAGAGAGAGAAGTTGCTTATTTCTGCAGGACTAGCCAATAGCCCATGAAATTCTGTGTGCACTGTAGCCCTGTTTTGTGACCACATCTGAGAAAACATTTAAACATATATTTAAATTCCAGTCTGTGTTTAATCTGTAGTCAAATTAAACATATACTTACATGCCTTTTCTAGTCAGCTTCTTCTGTATGACCAGCATCTATCTTTCCTATCAGGAATTTGAGGACTTGAGAGGCATGCTTCTGCTTCACTGAGCTTTATAGGTACTGTTACTGAATATTTGCAGACATAGAGAGTACAACTGCTGAAAATCAATTAATGTTCATGTGTAGTTGCCTCATTCTGCCTGTGCTAAGGTCTTAATATATGAGGGACTGAGCAAAATGTGAGGTCTTGACATCCTCCTTGTATAACATGGTGTATTTTTGTCTCATTCTGTGCAACATGCCTAGTCTATGGTTCACAGAATCACAGAATTTCTGAGGTAGGCAAAGGCCTCTGGGTGTATGTGCTCCAATTCTACATAAGCAAGGCTGCCAGAGCAGGGTCCATAGAACAGTGTCCAAGCAGCTTTTGAAGATGTCCAAGGAGGAGACCTCACAGTCTCTCTGGGTAGCCTGTACCAGTTCTCCATGACCTGCATTATTTATCTGCATTAAGCAGATAAATAATGATATTCAGAAGGAACTTCTGGTGTTTCAGTTTGTGCCCATTGCCTCTTGTCCAGGCACTGGCATGCTGAAAGGAGCCCAATTTCATCCTCTTCGTACCCTCTTTTCAGGTATTTATAGACATTGGTGACATCCCTTGAGCCTTCTATTCTCTGGAAAGAGCAGTCCCAGTTCTCTCACTTCATAGGAAAATTGCTGCAAACCCTTCTTGTCTTGATGGCCCTCCATTGGACTACCGTAGTGTAGGACAGCACTGGACACAGCATTCCAGAGGTGATCTCACCAATGTTGAGTTAATGGGAAGGATCCCCTCTCTTTTCCTGTTGGTGATGCTTTGCCTGATGCTGACTCCGTTTCAGACCCAGACTAGTTTCGGACAATGATCAGAATCAGAACAAAAATCATTTTTAGAAGAGGAAAAAGTTCACTGACAATATAATGAAGTGGTTATCTGAATATGATGCAGTGAAATAGACTATAGAAACTTCTATTTGGAAATGCCTTTGTTCTGCACATAAATGGACTCCTGAGGCTACACAGTCTGACTTGATGCTACTCAGATAAATATTACATTGCTTTACTTAATATGCTGTATTTGCTTTACTTATATGCTGTATAAACATAAACCTGTTCACTTCCTGGTTCACAGTGAGTAGACATCGCATCCTAGATGTCAAAATGTTATTGACTGATGTTCACACTTAATCTAGCTGATACATGTGATCTTAATTGCTACTGAGATTCTCTGTTACCTAAACTTACATGGACTCCCTCCAGTAGTGCTGGAGCTGTATTCAGCTTCGCTGGTTGTGACTTCCAGAATTGGACAGAGGAAGCAATAAGATGAAAATGCGATAGCAGAATGGAAGTTGGACAAGGAGTAAAGTAATAAAGTAAGCCTAATCAGTGGGGAGAGTGAAGTAGCCCTGGATGATTGATTGTTTTGAAGATCAGCTGCAGATTTTTCACAAGACTTATAAATACTTAGTATTTTCTGAAGGATTTTAGAATCAATTCGTCCCAAACTAAGGATTTGGTAGTTTGCATGACAAGGGAATAGAATAGAATAGAATAGAATAGAATAGAATAGAATAGAATAGAATAGAATAGAATA